GTCATTAAAGCGTGAATGACTTTATCTAGACGCTTTACTCTCATTGCAAATATATGTGTTTAATGCACTTATGCATAATCTCTATGTGCATATTTGTATTTAGGCCACAATGTAGTCTGTAGCAATAAGCCTAATATTTTGCAGTTTTCATATAGTTTTCTTTGAAATATTGTCCAAAACCAGTTGTTTCAGGATCATCAACTAACTTTATCACTGCTGTGTCTGAAATTAATTTAAATGTTTTTTCATCTGTTTTTTGCATCACTGATTGTATGATTTTATACACTTCAGTCTTCTTCTCTTTAGACTTTATTTTATATACGTTCATGCATGGTCAATATGTCACAAACAATAAAATCTTTGAGCAGGTTCCCTCATAACATGCATCTAAGCATTGAAAAATGAATCAGCCATATCTGACACATATGTTTGGCGACAAGGAGCTTACTCGTTCTTTAATCTTAGAATAAAAGATCTGTAATGTCTCCTTGTCAGTTCTGTTACTAAACAAAAAAGTACACATATCATCAATTATCATCAGTTGATATTAATTCAAAATCATAAGCATTAAGTCCATGGGGCCCATCAATACACATAGTATCATTTCTATATTTTTCTAACATAAAAGCCTGACCATCATTCATAATAACTAGAGCAGTCAGATTCTGCTAAATGAAGATATTCTTCACATTTCATACTTTGTGTGTTGTTTTATAAATCAAATCATCTCTGCCGTCTCTCATTTCATTCATCCAGGGGCCATATTCTGGTCACTGTTTCTGGTCTCTCGTCTCTTGCAAGCCAGTCGCTGATTGGCTAATCCAAATGATTAGCCAATCAGCGACCGGCTTGCGAGAGGCGAGAGACAGTGACCAGAATACGGCCTCAGGTGTCTACACTTATTGAATCATTTGGATGTTTTACAGAATTTGATGACAATTAGAAACTACTCTCAATATTATCTAGATCCTTTCTGGTTAATAAATGAAGTCTTTGTAACTCTTCTAGTGTTGACAGGCTGTCTCTGGCTTCCTCTATTATGGCAGTGAAAGGTTTCCTCGAAGAATTTTTTGTTTCTAATGTCCTGTACTTCTTTCATTCATTGACAAAACTGTGTGACATAAATTATGTCACATAATTTATTTTGATGGCCTACCAGCTGCAGAGTGAAGGCAACACACTTTTTGTTATCTTTTATGGTCACTTTCATTTGAGATGGACAGAAACCATCAATCTTCATGCTTCCGGTAAAACTCTATCCTTGTTATAATCCTTTTTATGCTTTTCTCTCGTGTGTTTGCTTAAACTTTGTTTATATTTATATTTTAAGTGGCATATAGTGCATTGCATTATTAACCAAGACTGAACAAAGACAAGATCCACAATTGGCACTGTTCGCCGTAGCGGCATAATTTAGAACTAAGATTTACCAGGGCTCAAGACATTTGTCAGACAGATGTCGCACAGCAATAACAGCCTGTGAGTATTGTATAATAAAAAAATATAGTCACAAGTGACACCGTAATAGATCCTAGTATCTGAGATAAAAGTGCTTACAAATTTTATCGATGGATAGATTAATAAAAAGCCTCTAGAATGATCTAAAGGAATATACTTTTAATTATAGAGACCGTGTACAAATCACAACTGGCATTAACATTACATGGTTAGTGGCATCAAATATCAATTGATGCCATTGTATATCATTTGGTTATTTGAAACTGTCCAAAAATTATCTCAGAACTGATACATATTTTTATTAGACAATAAATGATTATTGTTTACAGCAGGATGATTCAAGTCTTTATAAGAAACACACTTTTGATATAGATATATACACAGTATACGCGCAGCCTGTTAAGATCTTTTCACGTATTTATATATGCATTCAATTAAATAATACTTGCAAAGATTTCATAACGTGATGTAAGTGACTGCATAGGATGCGAGCCCTTGACCTTTGTAGAGAGACACTTCAGAATCACACTCTTTACGTTCAAAGGATTATTAAAAATAGATAACCAAAATACAAAGAAATCTGATACATTCCTGCCGGGTTCGAAACCATGATCCTTGGATTAAGAGACTAATGCGCTATTCTCTGCACTGTAAGAACACTTTTACAAAGAATAAATCACTTTCATAACTCAAAATCATGAGTTAATTATATTTGTACAGTAGCATACAGATAAAAAATATATATATACAAGTAGACCCTATAACACGGTAGATAATTCCGTGTTATATGAATTCCATGTTGTATGAGTCACTTAGATTTTACAAATACGTGAGCCATTCACAGCCCAGCCATTCACAGATTTAAGTGACTTGTATAACATGGAATTCATATAACACGGAATTATCTACCGTGTTATAGGGGGGTCTACTGTATAGAGATATATATTACCATTTGTGAGATGACATTTCGATAGGAATTTTGTTAGGTTTATGCGACATAAATGCTCCAAATAAGAAAAAAGTTATCGCCGATGAGAGGAGCACAGAGATTATCAACCACATATTGAAAGTCATAACAATCAGCATTATCAGGTAACTCAGGACGGTCTGAATGACATGAAAGATTGTTTGAAATAGATGATATTTAATTCTGAAAGTATAAAAAATATAGGGGAGATCGGGGCAAGATCGGCATGTTAAGCTTTACTTAAATTTTGTGTAATAAATACTGCTGTAAACTGAAAAAAAAGCTTTGCATATTGTCTATTGGAATGTTACCTTACTATAGAACTGGTTAAAATCAGTTTGGAAATAAAAATAATTAAAATAATTACAACTTTACAAGAAGAGAGAAATTGACGAAGTTGCCCCGGGTATAGGGGCAAGATCGGCAACTTCTCTCTTTTTGTAAAGTTGTAATTATTTTAATTATTTTTATTAAAGTTGCCCCTGGTATAGGGGCAACAGTAATGGGGCAAGATAGGCACGTATATAAAATTATGTTATTAACAATGTATAAGTTGGAATTCACTATTAAAACAAAGAAATACAAATCCAACACCCATTTAATATTATTACAACGAAATGCAAGTTCAAAGACATATATACATGAATAACAAATGCAAACATGTTTTCATTTATCATCTGTTTGATTTTTATCCTTTGCTTCTAATGTGGCTTTATGTTGCCGATCTTACCCCGCTAGTCATGATTTCGAAACATTAAGTACAACCCTGAGAACAGAATGCCAAGCCACGATCTGGCCACGTGAATAAGTTGAAGTTACATCCTTCTAACAGGAAAAGTAACTTTCGTTATCATGGAATTATAACAAAACCTGCCAATTCAATATAAATGGAAAAAAAATATTATATGGAATTGAACGAAAATGAAAATTTGCTTGATAATTCAACTACGCTTGTTGGAGAACAATAAAAACACTACACTCAACAAGCCACCAATAAAACTCAACTGCCTAACCTATAACCAAAGTCTCCTTTTAATTTGTTTTTTAAAAAAAGCGCTTGACAAACTTGCCCCGCATGCCGAAGTTGCCCCGATCTCCCCTATATTATATCAAAATATTATTATTTCGGTAAAAAATAATTTTGAAATTTAATACTAAAATAAAGTCTATAAATATATTCATAATTCCTTCCTGTCTGTCGTCATGGCTGCCTACAGGTAAGTGTAAGTGCCCATGATCTCGATTACCTCGTGATGAAAATACATAACGGAGGAGCATTTTCTATGAGATCAAAATTTGCGAGAACCACACAAATTGCTACAATAAGAATGCTGTGGACACTATGCACGTTATACTTAGTAGCCGTGTAGAAAGCGCTGCGGTCGTTTTCAAGATGGCGGCGTTCATAATATACCGTAGGAAAGAGCCGAACCGAACAGTTTTGTCGTCCAATCTGATACCTGGCGCTCTTGATTCAACATTAATTAGAAAAAAAATTCTACAGGCTTTTAACTCTACGGACTCATTTTGGAGCACGTAGCACTTATACGTTAATTTAACAAGTAATCGTTTAATTTACAGACTTAACATGTACTCTATGCGTCATGATCACTAAGAAAGTCTTTTTTTAATACTCATCACATGTTCAACTGGATCTGCATGTTCATCACACTGATACAACTGTATAGAGAAGGATAAGGCCCAATAAGGCTCGTCAAGAACATCTATAATAGACATTTGGATGTTGAATCTGTAAAAATGTTAGCCTGTCATTCTGGAGTTTCGAGATCCCCAGGAAGTTTTCATAGGACTCTAACCATACAGCTGCTATTATTATAGGCCTAAACGAACCCATGATGGGCATAACAGTAATCCCTTATAATTCCATTTGTGCGAAAAGCGTTACAAAAAAGACCATTCAGGAGAAGTTTATGAACAAGTTTTACAATATGGCTTAGTCAAATATAACAGAGGATTTGAACGGGTCATGTTGAATGGATTCACATTGTGGTTAAAATTATTTAAGATACAGATTGAATTCGAATTGCATTTCTCGAAGAAATAGAAAAAATCTCTCGCATTTTGAATTGCTCTTAAAAATGGAATTAATTGTCTTGTAAAAACAGCCATTTATGATTTATATTTAACAATGATATAATTGAATACAGGAACGTTGGTAAAATATATGGTCTTTAGTAAATTTTGATACCATAGATAACGGTCTGCTATAGCTTCTGACCACTATCTCTCCAATATGAAGAAACATGTCTCGTATATAGTAATGTAACGATCATGCATGGTAAATTCTGACATGGGAGACTTGTATTCCAACTCGATCTATACCCTAATAATCAATCATGGTGTACTTCTAAACAACAAGTATCTGATTCATTTTGTTGTCTAGAAGCATCTGTGAGCAGTACAGGTCACGGCATCGTTCTTATTCTTCAACACGCTGGTCGTAACAAGAGTAATTGTAGAATGCCATGTATTTGGGCAGCAGCACATTGTCTTACAATATGTTGCTTGTCTTGGAATTAGTTCTTATAAAAATGATAATATGTTATAATTTTACCTCTTCCAATCCTGAACAGAATATCTTCTAACTTTTGCGATAATGGCTTTCTCAGAAGTGATCGATGGAGATTCTTTCCTCTTAAATATTCTTTCATTATTTTCGAGTAACTGTAACACGCGCTTTCGGAAAATCTTTATGGTTTCATACAGTAATACCATTAATGATACCATTAAGCAAATACCCAGCATTTCTATAAAAGTATAAAAATACGTTTTCAATTTAGAAAATAGGCTAATAAATATCTAAAAAAAGTATTTAAAAAAATAATATTTAAAAATAAAAATAATAGCGAGGTTGCGACCGAAGTTTTCATCTCTGAAACGTGAACGTCGAGCGCCACTTTACAAGAAGCGGAGCCCGACGTTCGACGTTAACGTTTTAGAAATGAAAACTCCGGCCGCAACCTCGCTAATATTAAATATCATATACCGATATTTTATAAATTTCTAATATACAGGGGGACCCCAAAAGTCTATATATATATTTAGATTTTCCAATTAAGCGATTGGATAACATGAGTTGTTCTTAAAGTATGTCTCTGTTAACTGACTTTTAGACTTACTTTTTACATTTTAGGGGTCTTTTATCATTACCCAAGCTTTGTTAGTCTTTTGTCTGTCTAATCTGTGTTTATTATTATAAATACGGAAATGTTTTATAGATATTTTTGCTCTCGTTACACAGAAAGGGCTGTTAGTCGTTTGTCCAGATCTTCACATTTACGGGACTTGTAAAGCCTGAAAAACCCGTGGCTTGTGGGCCACTTATTCTTTTCTGCAAGGCATCTTTAGTGCTGCTCGAAGCAGCAATCTAATGGTCTATTCCTTATGAGTTTATAGAGAATGCATATATAAGTGCACGTGTAAATAGGCATGTACAGTATAAAGATAAATAAACACACGGGAATAATTTAATAACATTATTATAATCATTTAAGTAAAATATGGAGTAGGAAATACTATAACATGCAATATTTATAATTAAATGGATAATACTTACCTTCAACACTTGATATGGAAAGATTATAGAAGAGCAAATTATTCACTTTATAATCGAACACCAAATAAGATTTAGCATTCATCTAATATATAAAAATAATTATAAAACTGTTGTCTAATTATAAAATCTTTTGGAAATAATTTAAAATTAACTTACTGATTGTTCCGTAGAAGACTCCATAGTTACTTCTCTTTAAAGTTCTTATCTATCTAATAATATTTACGTTTGTTTGAAGTGTATCGATCAGAGGTCAATCAATATTTTAATATAAACATAGTTAATTCGATGCTTAAATAATGTATTTTATATTTAATAATTATATTGGTTAAAATTAGGATAAAATAATAACATTGTGTTAAAATTTTTATAAAAATGTATTTTAAAATTATTAAATTGATAAAATAAATTGTTTAGCGAGTAATGAAAAGCCTCGTATATACAATAGCTTAGACCCTGTTTATAAGTAGGAAGCCAAACACACGTGGTCTCTTGATTCATGCGGTAGTTTTAAGTTATATTAAATCTATCTCACCGTACGATATATAACATTTTGCAATGTCTAAATTCTCTAGAATGTAGCTAATAATAGTATAGCGACAAGTACAGTATATCTACATACTACTTGTTCAACTCTGAAGGTCTTAAAAGAGCGAGGCCCCTTGTAACTGCTGAAGTCCCCACCGTCCGAACCATTTGTTCTGGGTCTCACGTAGATTTAATAAATAAATATAAATTCAACAACGAGTTGCCTAACTTTCCCTGCAAAGTCTTTATAAAGTAAGTTATAACTTATATTATAAAGACTTTGTAACATAAAATGGATTTTTGAGATTTTTCAGATGATCACCATAAATTAACACTGACAATAAATGAATATTTTTTTGGCTAATGATGATTAATAGCTTCCATTAAATCAATTGACACTGATATTATTGTAGTCTTTCTTTGTGACATTACTTAAACTAATACCTAATTTTTATTTCTTTCTTAAAGATTTAACGCATTCCTAAGTCTTTCCATGAGATTATAGCAATGACTGAGAAAATTCTATAAAATATATGTTGGCTACTTTCAATAATGAACATTAACGAAATAAAATTTTTAATTC